CAGCACGATGCTATTATATAAATCACCCTTTTTGGCGGGTGCAAGGTCCACATCAGGCAAGGGCTTATTTCAAATCCTCAAAGCATCTACTGACACAGGCAGTCTGGTCAGGGAACACACTGAGCAAAGATGTCATAATGTCTCTTTCTTTTGCATAATTCTCACCTCATCTTCAGGTACATACTGTGTTTCCCAACAAACAGGTGAGGAAACTGAGGCTTTGGTTAAGCAAATTGCCTGTGCTTGCATGAAAGTTGGTTATTTGAGTTCAGGGTTAGTTAATCTGACTCCAAAACCAGTCTTTTATTACATAAAGCTGCTTCTCTTAATAATCCAGAGGCTCCTCAAGGATAGAGAAAGGGAGGTGCTAGTGGAAAGAAGTTACATTTCTTGAGGTAGGAAAAATCAACTGTGTGAAAATTAATCCAATTCTGCTCACTTTACAGGATTATGGAGAAACCAACAAACACTTCTGTCACAACACTCCCACACTGCCCTGCAGAGCCAGGTTGTCTGTATAAAGGCACGAAAACCAGAAAGGCTCTCCTTCAGAGAGGTCATAAAGAACTCAAGAAATGCTCATTAACTCTTTAAGATGTTTTATGTGCCTTTCCCTTTGCCTGCAAGAAGTCTTGACACGTTGAGCCTAACGTAACTACCCATCACCTATGTACAAGCACCTAGCTATAGAGAGAGCACACAATGATGAAAAAGGGAATCCGTGGATTCCCACTAGACCAAAATCCCCGAACTTCAAACTAGGGGAAGGAAATGTGCTGTCACAGGCCAGGTGTACTGCATTGGATCCTCTGGTAATGGAGGCTAGAATGTTAATTTCCCCCAAACTTCCACTTGATTATAATGCACCATTTTGAGTAACAATCCTAGCTCTGAAGAGAGGTCCTAAGATTCACTCAATCAAGAGTTCATTCCTGGAGGTCGCCTGGGTGGCTCAGTTAAGTGTCCGACTCTTGATTTTGGCTCAGGTCATGATCTCAGGATTGTGGGATCAAGCCCCAAGGGCTCCATGCTGGGCTTGGAGTCTAATTGCGATTCTCTCTCTCCCTCTGTCCCTCCCCTCCCTCTCCCCCTCTAAAATAAATAAAAATAACAAAAATAAGTAATAATAATTCCTCCCTGAAGATCCCATTGGATTAAGGAAATGTTAAGACTCACTTATCTTTTAGAAGTTCCTAACTCTCAATGAACTGATCCTGTTTTCCACAGTCTGCTGGTCATTTTAAAAGCTGGATTTAGGAAGTGATACTAATACTCATTCCACCACCAATGCTTACTAGCAATTAAGTTTTTAGGTCTTGGGGTGCCTGGCTGGCTCAGTTGGTAGAGCACGTGACTTGATCTCAGGGTCATGAGTTCAAGCCTCATGTTAGGCACAGAGCCAACTTGATGAAAAAAAAAAGTCTTTAGGTCTTATCTCTGAATAAGATGAAAATTAAAATTTTAAGCCCAAATCCCATAGTTTGCATAGCATAGCCAAACCAAATCACCATGCAGGAATTCAGATGGCTGAGAAACTAAAGGAATGATAAATATATTTCCACACTAGGGATTTAGGTACAAGTACTGTTCTTGAATCTCCAAAGAGCTCATACTTTCCAACAAGGTTATCTGCTACTTTTCATAATCTGAGCGCAGAGCCTCCTCCAAATTTCTGAACTTTGGTTAAACTTTTGTTTTACGTGATTTTGCTATGCTTCTGGTAAAGCTAAAAGAAGATATTATGCTGTAAGGCCAGCCACCAATATCCCTTTTTGTGTCACTGAAGGTAAACTGTTGATCTAAGTAAAACAAACACGAAAGGAGTGGGAAAGTAATAAGGTGACGCTTCTTGCAAGTTTGAGAGAGAGAGAAGCTACCTCTCAATTTCTGGAAACCAAAAGTGTATGATTTTGGCTTTCCATAATCTCAACTGCTAAAAAAGTAATACTCTAGGGGAGCCTGGGTGGCTCAGTTGATTGAGCGTCTGACTCTTGGTTTCAGCTCAGGTCATGATCTCAGGGTCATGAGACTGAGCCTGGCATTGGGCTCTGCGCTCAGCATGAAGTCTGCTTGAGATGCTCTCTCCCTCTGCGCCTCCCTCCAGTCTCTCTCAAATAAATAAATAAATATTTTTTTAAAAAGTAAACTCTATATAGCTACTGGATTTTTTTAATGGTTTTCATGAAAACCAAGTAGCTTTTAAAAGCTCAATCTCTTAAAACAAAAAGAATGAAAGCTAAGCTGAAAACACCAAGAAAGAAAAGTTAAAACCACCAAGCATGTTGAGTTCAAAACAAACACTTTTAAAAATTTTTATCAAGTATGGAATGAGCTTTTTGATTTTCTTCTAAATAATTTGAAGGAAGTTTTCTGCATTCTAGGTCTTATGTCCCGAATGAAAATATAAGCCCACAGGGAGGTCTGACCTATGGTTACCACTGATATTCTATAAAGTAGCAATGAACATAAATTCCAGAAAGCTGATTTTTTGGCATGTATTAAAATTAAACTGCAATCATCTCCTGTGACAAGTTTAATACTGTTCCACACTCCAACCTAATTCCATGCCAGCTGTTCTCATCTCAAATAAGGTATACCATATAAACAGTTTGTGAGGCTAAGATGGCGGTATGTTGTGAATCTTACACTGATTTTCAAAAGGATGCACAGGTTCACATTTCCACATCTTATAGAACTTTATTAATAAGCAAAACATATGTCAGCATGTTTTATATATGGGCAAGGACATTCCTATAATAATTGGCACATTATCATCTAACAGTTTAATTTTATCAAGAATGAGATTTTAAAAAATACGCTAACATTTCATATGACTATTTGAAGAATAAACAATTAAAATTAACATTTAACAGCAGTTTTAAAATATAAAAGCTCATTGTTTACTATTTACCATAAGCTGGAATCATTCCAATACAACTTCTATTAAAAAAAAAAAAAAGATCCCGTGCATCTTCTATAGGTCAGACAAATGGGTTTAGGAAAGGCCACGACAAAAATTAGCTGCTGACCTAATACTCCAGGTCCTTCTCTCCAAGGGCAGTGGATTTAGGCAGTCACTTCTCAGTAAAAAGTACAGTTATATATAGGATGATCATGTAATTTATTCTCCAAATTAGGACACTTTTGAGAGAGGAGGCACTATTTACGCTGAGAAAACAGAAATAGGGCTGTTTCTGAGCAAACTCAGGACATATGTCACTCCAGTTAAATACAGCATCAGATGCACTCTCGTTACTTTTGTGCTTTGGGGGACTACAAACCAGTTGAAAAGAAAAATGTTAAATTAAGAAACCCTGATTTTTTTTCTCTAGTTGCACTTTTTGGATTTCACTTTTCCTGTTGTGGACGGTTCTGCTGGAAGTATTAGTGATTACTGTCTTAACAGGTTGATATGGGAGATATACCTCACAGACTCAAAATAAAAGGCTAGATAGAGATTAGTATTTTTTCTCTTAAAGAGAGATTTTTATTTTAACTGAGTATAATAAGATTTGTCTTTCAATTTTAAATTCCTAATTTCAATCCTGAACACACTATACAGAAAAATGTATTTTTACCTTAAATTCAGTTGATTTCATGAATACATAATATCCTAGCCCTAACTAGCTTATTCAAATAGAAATAATTTAATAAATATTTGCATTAATTTCCAAGCCCCTGTTCACATTCATTCAAAAATTATTTAGACACCCTAACAAAGATTCTGATTTTCAAACTTTAAGACAGAGTGCAAAGGCAGTTAAGCATCCCCAAAACACAACAGCAACTGTTCTATCCAAGCTCACAGGAAATGAAGGGAAGTATGCAGAATTTGACAGATCTGGAAGAGAATGTTAAGGTTTTAAAAATAATATTCTATGCCCAATTGGATGATGAGATTTACGGCTACCACTGAATTGTACCAATTATAGGGGATCAGTTAACATGTACACTTGAACCTTATAGATTTGAAGGTGGGGGGGACCAAAACAAAAAATGAAGGTTTTGATGTTGGATCAAAAGTGACACATCCATATTCAGAAACCAAGGATAAATACCACAAAAACTAAAATGTTACATTTTAATAAAGTGATGTGATAGCTCATCTAGTAATCTACAATTACCATGTACGATAGCTTAATTTAAAAATTATCACAAAAAACAAAGTACAGGTCGATAGAAACTTAATATGCGATAAAGAAGAGATCTAGCATGAGATTCCATTTCTCATAAATACATTCTAATTTAATTTTAAATTCCAAATCAGGCAACTAAGTTAAATATTTTGTTTTCTTTACCCCATGCTAGTTTGACTTCAAGGGGTATAACACAGGGACTTCAATCAACAATAAAAATTCTATGTAGGGAAAAAAAATGAATTAGAGAAAACAAAAAATAGGACGCTCAATTAGCAAAACAAAACTGCATGTTTTATTTATCAAAGACAATGAAATAAATCAGAAAATACAGAGAAATACAAAAGAAGTTATAAAGTATAATTTATTTTTTCAGAAATGGAAAAATGTCCCTGAATAGTTTTAGATGTATCTTTTAGTAGTAGTCAGTGTCTAATAATAAACAAGCAACCAATTTTATATGTACTCTATAGCTGTATTAAATTACTTTTAAGTTTAAAAGATGATATAATTCCCATTTTTAATTTTGGCATTCAAAAACAAAAATATAACTGAAAAGAAAACAGATGAGACATAAAATGATTTGCAAAATGTAGTAGCTTATGAATGTAGATTCCAGTTTTAATAATGGTCACATACACACATACTCTTGCAACACACACACACACACACACACCACACCCCCATATTCCACAGACACATTTCTGTAACTTAAAAACAGATTATTTTGCATATCTGAATTCAAGATATGATTTTTATAGGTTAATCCTACAATCATAAAGCAAGAAGCTATTAGTACAAGTTTTGATTTGTTTCATTTAACAAACATCTAAAGAAAAAATTATTACAATGATAAGTGAAAGATACTTTTATTGGCTTCTTAAAAGACAAATGCAAATGAGAATCTTATTCAGAAAATTAATTTTCAAAAGTGTCTTAAATGAAATAAATATAATGTCTAATACAATCTCTTCCTACAAGACTCTCTAAGATGGCAATGCTAAAAACCAAGCTTCTCGACAGAATCCCTAAACCTGGCATGTCCCTTAAAAACAATGAAAAGATGTTTTTATAAGGGACACGTGGAATACCCATATCTTCTTAAAATCTGTCCTAAAACAAACTATCTTTAACACCCAAATTTTCTCTATATATTAAGTTCACTTAATTTTAAATTAATTGAAAAGATATCCAGACACAGTTTCTAAGAAAACAATGCAGAAAGTAATTTATGCATGGTTATTTACAGAGTTTGCTAAATAATAATGTAAGTATCATGTTCAAATATCTGACAAAGTTCTTCTATAATCAGCACTGCAGGTTTCAAAAACTATATATAACAAAGATGTCTCATGTGTAGAGTTACTAGATGAATCTAGGAGCCAGAAACTAAAGCATTTGAATAATTTCATTTTTATTATGCTAAATGTCAGGTCGGAAGTCAATGGCATTTACATGCTGGAAGACTGTTTCTCACTCACCTCTTTCAATTATAACAAACACTGATTAACCAAATATGACTGGACTTTACTGCTACAACTTTATGGTTTCTTTCAAGTATACGCAAATCTTTTACATGGGCACGTATGCAAATGTGCAAAACAAATGAAATATAAATATTTAAGAGAATGAACAGAAATGGCTTTTAAGCATAAACCATCCTGCTATTCAATTTTGAAGATCTATCTTTTCTTCACTTATTTGTCTTCTGCTTTTAGTAGTCTTCTATTAAAGTTGTAGGTTTACAGATGATCTGGAAATTTCACATTGATATAAGAAAAGAATGTCTGGTCGATGCAGTCTAGGGACAAAGAAAGAGTCTTAAAGTATATTAAGTTGCAGCTGTCTACATGATAATACAATAAAAACCCATTTTATAGCAGTATTACATCAAATATATAATGTTCTTTTGGTAAAGATAATATAAAATAGCCTATTATCAGAATATATTCCGAAGTTTAAGCTTCTATAGGAAACCATCTAGAAAATATTTACACATTAAATTTTAGGCTCTTGAAAATGCAAACAAGATAATTACACCGAATACTCAGAATATCATTCAAATTAGTAAAATTACTTTGCATTTTATCTTACATACTAATACACTCTGTTACTGCTCTCAAAGACATTTTAGTGGTTAAAGAGAAAATGTGACACCTTCTAGAGCTAAAAGAACATTTAAAAGGATACTTTAATATTTTCCAGAAATACAACTATTCACTGTACTCTTCAGTAGAAATAAGTAAATTATATTAGATTACGAAAAACTCCTAGTTATAAAGCTTAAGCAATCAAATCCCAAACCATACAATTTATTTATAAAAAGAATATAGTAACTTTGAAACATTTTGTACTTGTAGAGATCTAGAAGTTAAGTGTTTTAGCAGACACTTTGCCTATGCAGTTCAAATACTTTAAAAGTTCAAATCATTTATAGACATGAAGTATATGGCACTTGCTTCAAAAACAGTATAGAGGGAGGAGATATTTTTAAGTCATATATCCAGTAAAGAGTTAATATCCAAAATAGTTAAAGAACGCATACAACTCAATAACTAAAAAACCAAACAATGCAATCAAAAAATGAACAGAGGATCTGAACAGTTTTCCAAAGACATACAGATGGCCATCAAGCACATGAAAAGATGTTCAACATTCCTAAACATGAGGGAAATGCATATGAAAAACACAAGCAGATTATCACCTCACACCTGCCAGAATGGCTGTAAGTAAAAAGATAAGAAACAAGTGTTAGCGAGGACAGGAAGAAAAGGGAAACCTTGTGAACTATTGCTGGGAAAGTAAATTGAGCCAACCACTCTGGAAAACAGTATGGAGGTTCCTCAAAAAATTAAAAATAGAACTACCCTATGATCCAGCAATTCCACTTGTAGCTATCTCTATCTGAAGAAAATGAAAACACTAATTCAAAAAGATATATGCACCCCTATTAACTGCAGCATTATCTACAATAGTCAACATATGGAAAACAACTTAAGTGCCCATCAACAGATGAATGGATAAAGATGCAGGGTGTGTATGTGTGTGTTCCATATATACACGATGGAATACTACTGAGCCACAAAAAAAAAATCTTGCCATTTGTGACAACATGGATGGACCTTGAGGGTATTATGCTAAGTGAAATAAGTCAGAGAAAGACAAATATTGCATGATTTCCCTCACAAGTGCAACGAAAAAAAACCAATAACAACATAAAACACCACCTATACTCATAGATACTAAAAACTGAGTGGTGGCTATCAAAGGGGAAGGAGTTTCAGGACGGGGGAGCAAAATGGGTGAAGGGGATTGAGAGGTACAAATTTCTAGTTACAAAACAAGTAAGCCATGGGGGCGTAAATTACAGCACAAGGAATATAGTCAATAATATTGTATTTGTATTAATTTGGTGACAGATGGTAACTAGACATTGTGGTGAGCATTTCACAAAATATACAAATGTCAAATCACTATGTTGTACATATGAAACTAATATAACATTGTATGTTAACTGTTTTTAAATAACAAAAAGTCTATTATAGAAAATAGAGATATGAGGTCTCCTCATGTGAAGAAACTACTAGCTAGCCGCATGCAACCTCCAGAAACTCACTGGATAACTAGTAAGACAACTTCTGCTCATTTCTTTATTCCCATTTATTCAAGTTGAAGCCTTCATTGTTGATACAAACTGACAGACATTAAGGAAACTATGAGAGCTCCCATTTTCTTCACATTTATTCTTTGATCTAGTTTGTTAAGATCACTGCATGGAAAATTTCTTTTCAACCACAAATTTGTTTTTTGTTTTGTTTTGTTTTGTTTACCACATGTCTGTGGATTTCACATTGTTTTATACAAAATGCCCATCCTTCTGTGTAAGTGCTTTGTCGTATTTTGTTTTTCAAGCCTTTAAACTGTGTGCTAATGGTTACTTACATCCTGTGGTTAATCTTTTAAAAAGAAGTTTAAAAAGTCTGACTTAAAGTTTTTTTATTCATAATATATTTAAAAAATTAAAATTTATGAAATTCAATTTTTAAAAATCTTAAAAAGTTCACAATGTACTGAATCTTAATCAGTTGACTGTTAACAGTATAACAATATATTAAATATGCTAAGTCTAAGTAAATAACATAAGTACACATAATAGTCATCTGGTGAATAAGAATACATGAAGGAAACAGAGTTCTCTATTAATATTTCTTACCTCTATAATAAGAAGAAATATCTTGTTCTATGAGCAGCTGCCATACTTTCAGACATGTTTCTGACTTTTAGATAATTAACAAATCCTCTGAAGAAAAGAAGCAGGCCTGAAACGGTTAAAGTAATACAGAGCCATTATGTTCTTATATGAAGAGGGCATCAATTTAAAACAGACAATTATAAACAAGATCCTCTTGGCTTAAGGAATTTAATCTGTAAAATTCTACTCATTCCGTAATATATTTTACACTATAACGATAATAACCATCATGAAAAAATATAAAGAAGTTTACTGCCTCCCCAAATTCTTTCAATTTGTTAAGTCCAGATGTATCTAAATTAAAGTAAAGCAAACCCAGCCATGAAAATCCAGAATTACACAAAAATATATTTATTCCATGATTTCTTTTAATAACAAAGTTACCTAATGCATTTAAGCTGATTCAACTCAGAGAAATCCCATTTTTATAGGAAACTTTCCAATTAATACAACTACTAAGCAAACTAAGACATATTTACTAATAGAAAGTATTCAAGAAAGAATATATTCAAGTAATTTTCTAACAATCGTGGGATAAAACCAATAAGCCTCTCTAACAATATCAAGTGCCTGTCATCTGTGAAATCTGTATTTGAAGATATATGTTATGTAAATAATTTTAATTATTAGGTCTTATTTTCAAGTGTTAACAAAAGACTAATTTATAGTACAAATTTAGATAAGAAGAATCAGGAAAGAATTGGGAAGCAACCACTCTAGTGATTTATTAAATGATTTGGGATAGATCTTATATCTATCAGTATTCTCTTTAACAGGATTTTTAAATAACAACCATTTACATAACAGGAATCCTTTAGTAATTAATAAAACAATGCCTGTGAAATGCTTCAAAGTTTCAGATGAAAAATATTAGCTAAATATAAAAAGCATTAGCATTATTAGTAAATTTTCTGATATACTTATCAAACATAGAATTCTAAGGGAAACATTTATTAACTTCAGTAAATGTTTAACTAGGTAATGGGCGGGGGCCAAAACAAAAACAGAAAAACAGAAGATATACACGTATGTAACTTTCCTCATCAAGAGGAGGAGTCTGTCGATTTAAAAATGCAAAGTCCCAAACTAAATTTGTACTCCGACTCCAAGACAGTAACCAAGGCACTAAAAAAAAGCATGGTTATAATAAAGAGAAAAGATAGGAAGATATACAAATAATGACTAAAGCAAGTGGTATAAATTTCAGCTAAATCTGAGCCCATCTGCTTCCTATATCCTAACTCCTTCCATTTGTGACTCCCACTCTCAATTCCACCCTCATGTCCTTCCAGATGCTGTTCAAAGATAATGGTATTGTGATCCAAATGTATAAGTATTATTGAAAAATGTAAACCAAAATTATTTATGAAATCCCTACTTTTGTCTAAGAAAACTACAGTTTCTAAGACTATTTTGTCCTGCTCAGGCATTTTCTAAAATAAACCAGTTCATATCTAGAAACCAATCATTCAGCAGCTATTGTCTCTCAGTGTTCTACAATGTACTCAACATTCTTCTGAGTATATGTGAGAGCAACATTTTTATTATGGATTAAGTTTTCACAATTCCCTAAATGCTAGATTGTGGTTCTGATGTGAAAATGGGGGATGGTCCTCTGCATTTCACTGGGCCCTATAATTGTCTTCCTAACATCCAATCCTTAATAATATATTTAGAAGCAAATACACTCATTTTAATATGCTTAAATACCTAAAAGACTTCATATATTTTTTCACTTTTAACTAAGAAATTCAATAACGAGCACAGAATTCAGGCAGTCAGAACACAACAATACAAATAACTGCCTAAACCCTTGTAAGATCTGGCTCCCTAACCAAAATCACAACACTAGAATAATTTCACTATAATTGTTAGGAGAAAGAATACAAGATCTTTAGTGACCTTAACTGACCACTAAGAATTTGTTTCCCTAAAGATCCTAAAGATCCAATACCAGGACTGAACAAAAACTCAATGAGAACACTGCCACCTACTGAAATGCTATTATTTTCTGGTACAATTATGTTACTACAGAAATGTGGGCTTTTAAACCTAAGTAGAGAGGATATTCTTCATGTCAGTAAATAAATCTGAAATGTGGATTAAAGGCATTATGTGATTTTGAGATTAATTTACCATACATCTAGAGTGACAATCACCAGGGAACAAAAACTGGAAATCCATAAAATTCATCAATATTAACAAAAAGACATGCCTTGTAAAAAGAAAACTCAACAGAAGTACTGTGATCGTTGGGCATGAAGCCTTCTTATGCCTGGTTGATTAACATTTCAAAAGTATAAAGAATGTTTCAATGTTCCAAAAATAAGAAAATGCATAGAACATCCAACTATCCTACTCTCAACATATCCTAGGATCGTTAAAAGAAATTATGCATGTATATTTTCCAAAATAAATGCTAAAGACAATTTTTTTTAATCATTTTAGGATTTTCAAGTTTTGCAATATTCAATTATCATCCAACCACTGATTTTTTAAATTGACAGGCTCTGGATTTTCAATCAGAAATCTCGAGTGCAATGTATAATTATCCAAATAGCTGAGATGATATTAAGTATTTGGATATGAGAATTTTACAGTAGAAAAATTATTTCCACATAAGTTTCAACACAATGTATTTACATCTTACAATTTGGGGAAATATCAAAGTTAAACTAAATGCAAATTAAAAACTGAAATGCATTAGAAACAAACTTACCAAGTACAAGAAATATCCACCAAAGCCAGTACTGTCCATTGAAATATCCAGTAAAATAATCAGAAAACTATGGAGTGAACATAAATATATTAACCCTATTTATGCACCTAAATTTGAAAATCATAGATTAGCCTTAGTTTCAGAACAATTTACCTCAAATCATCTCTTGCACTTAAAACAACACAAAGAGAAAAATAAATACTTAATGACATACATAATTATTTGAGGAAACAAACTCTTTAAAATCTTGTATACAATAGCTAACAAACTTACACAAAGTATTTTAAAAACAAAAATCAGTTTCAAAATTGTAAGAAAGGTAAATTCTATATATCTGAATCCAACTTTCTCATTAAAGAGTTCACATGTCAGTTCTTTTTTCATAATCTCTCAAAGCCACAACTACCATCCCAAACACACTACAGCAACCCGCTGCTTTAGATATTAACACCAAAAGCCACATTAGTTTAATCTTATCAGATGGGGATGTTCAGCTGACCTCTAAAAAGAAGAGCTTTTGACCTTCTGTACACCCCCTACTGTTAATCACTGCCAAGAATACTAGGCACATAAAGACCCCCAACTCATTAGAGTCTTTTTATTTTCAAACTAGATGCTCCAGTATTCAGTTCCCAATAGTAAGCTAAGAACAGCTAAATGAACCTTGAAGTGGCATTTCAACAGTTCCTATTAGTGACCATGGTTGAGAGTTTTATATCCCCTGTGAAATGAGTGTATGAATAGGCAGATGGAAGGCAGAGTCCGGTGATACTGAACACATGTATCTTTTCCTTGCTTAACCTCTGGATGTCATGATTTATTATTTAAAAAAAATTTTTTTAAGTCAATCTAATTTTTTTCAGTTACTTCAGATAATTCTTCCCTATTATCCTTTAGCACCTAAACAATTTTCCAAAGTTATATTTTGAAAGTGTTTAATATAACCTAGTCTAAAACTACTAAAATTTACTTTGTTTTATTTACTCTGTTTCCATTCATTGGCCTCCAAACCAAATCTAACTAAAAATGATTTTGTCAAATGGAGATTTGCCCTCAAATCTGAAATTAAAAGTATCTCCAACTTTATTTTGGTAATTATTTCCAACTATTCATTGGTAATTTCCACAAAAGTTTAAAAGGGTTAGGGGCGCCTGGGTAGCTCAGTCATTAAGCATCTGCCTTCAGCTCAGGTCATGATCCCAGGGTCCTGGGTTCAAGCCTCGCATCGGGCTCCCTGCTCAGCGGGAAGCCTGCTTCTTCCTCTCCCACTGCCCCTGCTTGTGTTCCCTCTCTCGCTGTGTCTCTCTGTCAAATAAATAAATAAAAATCTTTAAAAAAAAAATAAAAAACAAAATAAAAATCCTATAGGTTTAGTAATAAACAAAGTACTTATAAATTGTAAATAATGTCACTATTGAGGAAGCATATGTACTAATGATTATCTAAATTTGTTTTTTAAAACTTTTAAGTATTTCTACAGGAAGTATTTACAATTAATAAGTGAACCATAATCTAAATTTTCGGCTGAGGGTTTTAGAAATTTCAAAGTTTAAAATTTTTAAAGTATCATTATAGATGCAGATCCCACACACTACATCTTTAAAATATGTACAAGGGAGAACTAAACAACTGGAAAAATATAGCTGGTAAAGTAGGACTGCACTACACTTTTTAATCAAGTGATTAATAATTAGAAATAAAAGATTTTCATATACGTTTTAGAGTCTTTAAGAATGAAAAGAAATAAAGAACCAAAGCAACACATTTTTAACTTTCTAATTTTTAAATATATTGTAGAATATACTTAAATAAATAATATTACCTGGCAAGAGGCAACCAGAAAAGTAAGAACATCATTCTTCACCAAAAATATTTGCCAAAGCTAGTCTTTATTTACTCCCAAATGAAAAAATATAATCACTTTCACCGTGAAGTCAAAGAAAGACTCACTATGTAAAAAGGATAAACTAATGAGTTTTTGGGTTCAACTGAGTGAGTAAAAATGTTTTAAAATACCAATAGTCAGAGGGCTGAGCCAAGTTGGGGGTTTAATGAGTAAATCAATCATGTCAACTGGCCAATCACAGGATGCAAAAACCAAATTTTGGAAAATAAATTAACTGACACTAAGAATTTATCTAATTTTGTTTTATTAATATAACACCAGTAGTTTACTGTTTATATCCTGTCTACTTTCAAAAAGAGTTGTTAGTTTTTAAAAAAAACATATTCATTTTTAAATAAATAAAAACATCAAAAGCCTTAGAAATAATACCAGAATCAGCTAAAGATATTTAACTTAAATCTAAGTAAATGGAAACTCAGAAACAAAAAGAAAAGCTACAGTATGATTTATAAATTACTTATTGTCTAATAAAATAAAACAACAGGCTTTTAGGAGAAAACCTTTCTCTCAGCACTTCACAGGGCATTTATTGCTTAGAGCATTATAATAAAAGTCCAAGTACAGTGTCACAGAGGCAGGACAGAATTAGGAGAAGAGGCATGGAATTGAGACCAAGCTAGATTGTAATCCAACAAACTGTGGGATATTGAGCAAGTTATTTGACTTTTTTTATTCTTAGCTTTTATCATCAATAAAATGTCTGGATTATCATGAGCATCACTGATACAAGCAGGAGTCAAGAATTTGATGTTTGTAATGAATTATGTTTGCAATACAGTAAGTACTCAATGAAATGCAGCTATTATTATTTGATACAAAAGATTTTTAAAAATCTTTTTCTCATATCAATTCTCAATACACACTAAAGGCATAATATTAACCTTAACCCAGTAGCAGTATTTTATTTTTTTTTAAAGGCACATTTTATGTGGTTTTTTTTAAAGTTTTTTTTTTTTTTAAGTAATCTCTACACCCAACGTGAGGCTTGAACTCATGACCCCAAGATTGAGAGTCACATGCTCTTCTGACTGAGCCGGCCAGTGCCCCTCAGTAGTGGTATTTTAAAGGGAAACGAAACAGTTCTGGTGATCAAACTTGATGCAATCCCCAGTATTTGAATTTAAGTTCCCCATCTTATCACATCAGATGGAGTTAATTACTAGATAAACAAACCCCTCTCAACTAGGGGTATTATAAGAGAATTAGGCCCTAATACCCTAACAGCACAGGTTGCATATAATGGACCGAACTTTTTTTTTTAATGAATCTAGAATACACAAACTTACTAAGTTTAGAAGAGTTGAGAAAACAATCCTCAAATCATTTTCTGTGTTCTGTGACTAAGAAATCCATTTGAATAATAGTAATTAATTCTATTACTAACATAATAATAACCACTGGACACATCTAGTGTCAACTCTGTTGAGGTTTTTCTAGTAATAACTTCTGCAAGGCCAGGGATCGTGCTTTATCTTTGTATGCTCCCTAACACCTTAACAGATTTATGATTATAGTGGGAATTCACTTCACATTTTTATTTATTTATTTTTTAAAGATTTTATTTATTTGAGAGAGAGAACAAGCAGGGGTGGAAGGGTAGAGGGAGGGGGAGAGAGAAAGAGAGAGAGAGAGAGAAGCAGACTCCCCGGTGAGCAGGAAACCTGACATGGGACTCGATCCCAGGACTCTGGGATCATGACCTAAGCCGAAGGCAGACACTTAACCGACTGAGTCACCCAAGTGCCCCCACTTCACATTTTTAAAAATGAAATTAGAAAAAGAATCTGCCAGGGGGCTGTTCTTACATTGGCTCAGATTTTGATCATCTGAGAAGGCGGCAAGTCTTAGGTACTACCCAAGAATCAACTGATTAATAACCAAAATCTGTATCTGGTCTGAACAGAGATAAGGTCTGATAAGATTACTGATACTCTGGGAAGCAGTAAGTTTAAAAATAATGAAGAAACACATTAGGTCCACAGTTTTAATTTCTTAAATCAATGTGATAATGTAGGTGCATAACTGAAGTGTCTGAAGCACTTAAGAAAAGCTGACATTTTAGTATGTGATTCTACCGAATATTTGAGGATCTGACTCATTCAATTAGAAATCAATGTTTAAATAAATATGATTTGTAGAAATTATGCATTTTATCAATTGTATAGTAGCACTTAAATATGTGGGTTACTTTTAAGAAAACTTACTAAAACAATCAATAAAACCACACTTTTTTTTTTTTTTTTAAGTGATAGTGTCGTGTAGTGATCTCTGTGGTGTGGGGCCCAATGTGGAGCCCTATGCAGGGCTTGAACTCATGATCCTGAGGATCAAGACCTGAGCTGAGATCGAAAGATGGATGCTTAACCTACTGAGCCACCCAGGTGCCCCAAAACCACTCTTGATCATTCTCCTAGGACTTATCCTAAAGAAACTAGGGACAAAGCTTTGTAAAAAGGAGACAAAAGGGGCCTTCAACAGGCAAAGGTAAAGAGCTGGGGGAAGAATATGCTAACAATACTACTGCTGATGGAATGGTTACAGAAAATTATTTTGGGACAAGCTGCTGAGATGGAAAAAGAAAAGGACTTAGGATTATCTCCCTACACACCATCTTGTAAGTGATAAGAAGTAGACAGAGGGTAAATTCCAGAAACAACAGGGAAATAAGAAAGGTGGAGAAGGAACATAAGGGGAAAAAAGGTGAGTTCTGGTAGCCACCTCAGAGGCCTCAGTTAACCTTTGAGCTCTTAATGTTACTAAAAGAAAGAGTGGGAGGATAATTAAGTCCTTGAGAATTCTACTAACCAACAGAAAATGTTCTGTTTTAACGGATGGTAGGCATGCCTGCGCTGTATCACAACAGTCGCAGCCTGGTTTACTGAGCACATGCATTTGTGCAGCAACTGGACAAGTGCTTGAATTGTATTACCTCTAGTCCTCAGAGAAATCCTGAAAGGCAGGACTACCAGCTTATTATGAAGAAATGCTCACAACAATTTAAAAACGTAAAGTTAAAACACTGATATAAATATGAATAAGATTCAAACTCAAATTTTTGACTTCAAAGCTCTTTCCATGTAGTAACAAGCTCTCATGTAATAAAGTTACAAAATGTTCACACCACAGAGATCACTACAATAACAAGTCTAAAAGGGTTAAGAATAAGTCTCAAAATAATTGATTCATATATGTAAAATGAACATTTATGAACCACACAAGAAATTTCATATATTTTAATGAAATAAAAGCGATAGAGGCTATTAAAACACTCACCCTAACAATAAGAATCCATTTGATCAATGAAAGTCCAAATCCACAGATGGCACCATACCTTCCAGCTATGGTATTGGTGATACAGAAGGATAAACAAAATCCAAGCCAGTTGAAAATAAATGCCACTAAAAGCAAGAAAAATAGTCCTTTTAAAGACCACACTTTGGAAACAAATTAACAGAGACATAATATTAACAATACTTCATTGCACCATGGAAATAACAATTCCCTTTCTCTTGACTGTACCAATTAAGTCTTGTTTATAGACTATACCTTTTGCAAATATATTAGTTATTAACTATACATTAACAAACAGGTAAGCTTGGTTTCTTGTCAATTTAATCAATAGGAATCAATTCCTTAAAACTTACCACCAATAGGTGAAACTACATTTTTAAGCCACCTAAAAAACCAAGTCACAAGGTAACTCCCATGTGATCCCACCCAAGAATTCTAACCTAAGCAATCAGCCAACCAAACTGCATTTTTTTAAAAGCAATGTTAAAGATGAGCCAAATAAATTATAAAATACTTCCAGAGAAGGTAGTGTTCATTGCCTCTTCGTCCTACCTACTAAAACCTGCTTTTCCCTTTTTTTAGGATCCCACCCACCTACAGAGCATCCCTAAGTATGGACCCCATACTTAACCCGAAAAGGTGGGTCCTGAGTGGTCTGGGAAAAATCACAGGAGGCCAAAACTCCCTGCCATTTTTTTTTTTTTAAATAGGACTTCTGAACAGCATTCTTTGGTTCTTAAAAACACATCAAGGAGATAGAGGATGGAATATAGGTTAAATAACAGTGGCTCTAGGTTGATCATTGTTGAAACTGAGTGATAAATACACAGAGGTTATTTATACTCTTGCCTAGTTTGAGAATTTCTACAATGTTTTTTTAAAAAACAAAAACAAAAACAAAAAAACTCCTTATCCAGTGGATGACTAGTTTGGATATAACATCTGGAACTTCTGCCTGGATTCTACTATCAGCCTGAGGATTAAAGTGTAACTCCACAAGGGCTAGGTAGTGAAGAAAATCAAAGAAAAGCAGAGCCTTAGAACTGACACTTGCTGTGGCTGAGGTCTGCTTGTCTATCTGCTTGCCTATGGATTTTCTGGTTTGTGAGATAATCTTCTATTTAAAACAGCCGAGTAAGGGTTTTCTGTTACTTGTAGCAGAAACCATTTTAACACAGGTCCTTGAGATATAATCAGAGTGCCCTGTGTCCAAGATATTAACATTATCAAAATAAGAACAGTAACGATAATAAAACTGAAGATCAATTTGAGCAGAACTCTGGTCCTGTTCAGTGCCCATCCTCTTACCTTCAGTATCTCTAACCTACCCTCAGGGAAACAAAGTAAATTACCTAGAGAAATGCTGATTTTTCAGAATTCTGAAGACAAAGAGGAAACATTTTAAGATAAGTTTAAATGAAATAGCTATTTCTTCAAAGCAATTCCCCTACTCCTATAATTTCTTCCTTCCTAATGCCTTCTGGGCACAGTTTTCTTGGTCATTTATGGCAAGCTATGTTATATGGTACAATAGTCAGGAGAATGAATTTTGAAATAAGAGACGTGTTTGAGCCACAGTGTGACATATATCACTCACTAGACTCACTGCTGACTTCCACGAGCCACAATTCTCTGATCGGCAGGACCTATTTCACAAGTTTGATAAGGGGATTAAGCAAGATCATGAATTTAAAGAGCTTAGCTTAGCACAGTATAGAACCTGGCACATGGTGACTGCTAAGAAATGTTAACCATTATTACTACCCATACAAAATGATATTTTTAGAGAAGCTTATATCTTTTCTGCAAAAAAGAAAAAATTCAGGAGACACTACTGGAAATAAAACTTGCTCACACTCCACATTTTTTTTTTTTATAAACCTAGATACTGATCAGTATTCGGCTATCTTCTACATCTGTGCTATCTAATGCCACCAGCCACACTGCTTTTTCTACTTGCTCCAGGAACCCACCCTAACTCTACAAAGGTTGCTATTTAAATTTCAAGTAAATGAAATTTCAAATTTAGTCCCTCAGTCACACTAGCCACATTTCAAGCGTTCAATGGTCACATTTAGCTTGTAGCTATCATACTGGACAGCGGAGAGAGAATTAGTTCCATGGTCAGAGAATAATACACTATTAGATACAGCTGCTCTACATCTAATTGGTTAATATCTGTGTTATCTGTGGAGAAAAACATGCAACAGCTGATCAAAAAATAAGTTGATATCTCTTTAAAATACATAATGTGCATTAATGAACCGCAGCAGAGACTCCCAAACCAGTGTCCCATATATATGCTAGTGACAGGCTGAGCGAGCTCCTCTCTTCCTCCTCAGCAGGCAGGTGAGATCTGGGCAGAGCACAGACGGCCACCAGCCCTGAGCACCTTATTCCCGGATCCTGCGTGCTATAAACATTCCATCATTTCGTAAGCATATCATGCTGTTAAAACACAGGAAGCACTGATGGAGAAAATACAAAACAGCAAAATATTCCAAAAGTGCATTTTTACCTTTGAGTGTGTGTATGTTTAGTTTTGGGGAAAATTAATTCAAACACTGTTTTCCTTAAAACAGATTTACCAATATCTACTATACATATAATTGTACTCACATCAGAAATAAGATACAAAATAACAAAAAAGTACCTACTGAGTCATTGTGTTTTCTTTTTGCTCTCTGCCAGCAGTATGGATTCCTAGAAGCTGTGCTCATGTAATATAATGTGTTATGGACTGAACTGTGTCTCCTCAAAATTCAGACTGAAGCTCTAACCAGTGTGACTGTATTTAGAGACAGGGCCTTTAAGAAGATAATTAAGGTTATAAAGGTAGAGCCCTTATCCACTAGGATTGGTATCCTTATAGGAAGAGAAGAGACACCAGAGAGCTCTCTCTCCACCCACATGTAGGAAAGAGACCATAGGAGGAAATGGCAAGACAGCTGTCCACAAGCCAGGAAGAGAATCCTCACCCAAACCCTAATTTTCCAGCACTTTGATCTTGGACTTCTAGACAGTCTCCAGAACTGTGAGAAAATAAATTTCCACTATTTAAACCATCCAGTTGATGGTATTTGTCATGGCAGCTCTAAGAGACGAATACATAACTTTATCCTTCTGTAACTGGGTTAAACACTGGGAAAACAGTGAAGTTGGTGACGACTCAAGCATAGATACACTTTTTAGGCCCCTTGGCCCATAAGGTAGCAAATAAAGCTGAAAAGGTCCTTAAAATACAGAAAGGGCAGAAGCATTCAATTCTAAATCCTCTATGACATGCCTGAGTCGGCAAAGGAGAATTTAATAAATGTATGCTAAACCTTAAGTGTATAAAATCCATAAAATTAGGAACAACATATAGTAGAGGCAGGCAAACATATACATGCCTCTAGAAAAAAAGACAAGAACACTTTTCTCTTAGCTCTACTTCATTCATGCCATGTTTCCCTGGAAACCTAAGACAAATTAGGAAGCTTAAAAGGTGTAGGGCACCTATTCCCCACACAGTAAGGCCCAACATGGAATCCAAAGAAGCAAAAGTCTTATATAGCCTATATTCCTTAGAAAAAGTAAGATTTGGGGTAGCAAGCAGCAGGAAACAGAGCAATTAACTCAGAAAAGTTGGTAAAAAGAATGCTTACTGTTGCTCCAGTTACACTTTACACATTCACCTTCCAGTGCTTCTTTATAAGAAAGTGAGTCAGACAGGTTAATGACATTTGAAAGAAGGCTACCACTTTAAATCACGTAAAAGGTGAATGCTCAGGTAAGGATGGGGAAGGAGAACATTACTACTACCTTCACCTAACAGCACTTTATAATTTATGACATTTCACATATTTTAATTTAACTGATCCTCGCATTAGTCTTTTAAGAAGGGCAAGGTCAGAATTAATTCCATTTACAGAAGGACAAATGGAGACTTAGAACAGTGATATGCCACATAAACTCGCAAAGCAAGAGGTATAGTAAGACAGGAGCATCCAGGTCTTTCACCTCTCCAGTAACCATTTTATTATACCACCAACCTACATAAAGAGGGGAGCAAGATAACCTAGAAAGCAGTATTGTACACCACAGTTTATCCTTTAGCTAATAAGACTTTACTTTTAAATTTCCAAAAGCTGCAAGATACTTATTAATAACAAAGGGGAAAACTTTATAGTGAAGAAAGCTGGCAGACACCATCTTAACCTGATGAGAGTTGGCATCACCAGCAATAAGACGTAACTATAGATCACTACCTCCTGATATGATACACTGAGAAGGGCACATCATTTCTATGGTATTCTTACAAAAAAAAAAAAAGAAGAAGAAGAAGAAGGGGAAGGGGAAGAGGAAAGAAGAAATGCATAACCTGAATCTAATCATGAGGAAATATCAGGTAAATCCAAATTGAGAGACATTCTACATAACAACTGGTCCATATTCTTCAAAAGAATCAAAGTCATAAGAAAAAAAGACTAAAAAACTGTTCTTCAATTAGGAACAGACTAAAGCAAAATGGCAATGAAATACAATATATAATCCCGGACTATAAAAAGGACACCAATGGGGGGTGCCTGGGTGGCTCAGTCATTAAGTGTCTTGCCTTCGGCTCAGGTCATGATCCCGAGGTCCTGGGATCAGCCCCACAACAGGCTCCCTGCTCTGCGGGAAGCCTGTTTCTCCCTCTCCCACTCCCCCTGCTTGTGTTCCCTCTCTTGCTGTGTCTCTGTCAAACGAATAAATAAAATTTAAAAAAAAAAAAGAAAAAAAGAACACCAATGGTACAACTGGTAAAATTTGAATAAGGTCTGTAAACTAGTTAGTACTATTTCATAATGTTAATTTCCTAATATTGATCATTGCACTAATGTTACATAAAATGTTAATACTTGAGAAAACCAGATGAAAGTTACATGACAATTGTATTATTTTTGCAAATTTTTCCTAAGTTTTAAATTTAAAGATGTAAAGTTTAAAAAGTTTTAAATTTTTAAAAATCTGATACTTGTTTTGAAAATAAACAAAAGAAAATCATAAATGAATATACACATGATCCTAACAATGAGCACTTATTTCTTCAATCACAGAAAAATTCTTAATACATATAAATTCACTAGGTTTCAAAGACATCAAGTTCCTAGACAAGGAATCAATTTCACTAAACTTAATTCTGAATTGCATACAGGTAAATTTCTCTCTTATCCTCAAACAATTCTCCTCATTTAATCAATTAGCCATTAAGAAAGACATGATGCTAACAATTTATTAGTTTTAAGACATTTCAGCTGAATTATAAGCAATGAGATGACCAAAACAAATTTTTTCTTGTAAACAAGTTTAATGCTTCACAAATACTACATGACTTTCTTAAGGTATAGTTACAATTTTTTTTTTAAGATTTTTATTTGAGAGAGAGAGAGAGAGACTGCATGCACAAGCGGTGGGGGGGCGGGGGAGGAAGGAGGGAGAGGAAGAAGTAGACTCCCCGCTGAGCAGGGAGCCTGATGCAGGGCTTAATCCTAGGACCTTGGGATCATGAGCTGAGCCAAAGGCAGAAGCTAAACTGAGCCACCCAGGTGCCCTGTAGTTACAATTCTTAAGTGTTCCTTTTCTGGATTCACTTACCATCTACAACATCACCTAAAAGCTATATAATTATAAACCCAGCTCTATCTGGACAGAACAAGTCATCAATGTATTGTTTTTCAGTATGTGTGATGCCCAGACAATCTCTTTAAGAATTTTAACTTTTATGACTTGTCCATGGTAGGTGCTCAAAACTGCTTATTAGTGAATACAGATGCTCAATATCAACAATCCTTGGGGAAATGCAAATTGAACCACAATGAGATACTACCACACATCTATTAGAACAGCTATAATTTTAAAAATTGTCAGTACCACATACTAGTGAGGATCAGAGCAACAGAAACTCACCGCTGGTGGGAATGCACAGTGGTACAGCCACTTTGGTAACACAGTTTGGCAATTTCTTACAATTCAGAATTCACATTTCAGAACAGTATTCTAATTCCTTTTAAAATTACAATTTAATATGTCTTTAAATGTGTTTCCCTCAAGTCTAAAAGGGGAATAATGGGGGCTCCTGTGAGCTCAGTTAAACGTCCAACTTGTGATTTTGGCTCAGGTCATGATCTTAGGGATTGTGGGATCGAGCCCCACGTCGAGCTCTGTGCTCAGTGGGGAATCTGCTTGAGATTCTTCTCTGTCCCTCTCCCTCTGCCTCTGCCCCCCCCCACTTATGCTCTCTCTCAAATAAATCCATACATCTTTAAAAAAATAAAAATAAAGTAAAATGGGAATAATACAGGTGATTAATTTTTACTATAGCATGAATATTCTTCAATTCTGAAGATTCACACATGGTACAAAATTTCTTAAACAGAGTCTATTACATATTTAAGCATTATAGTCCAAGGTCATTTCCGCAGACTATCAATTATCCAGTGGACTAAATCTTAATTTCTAGCTTTTAACTAACAAATAATTGACTTCCATTCCACTCTTTTAAAAACTCTTAAAAATAAGATCAGATACAAGTACATATGAGGCATTCTGCTCTGACACTTCAAGGGATTATGAGAAGCAAAAATTATCAAGGATATTTTCTGAACACGAACATGCAATTATTTTACCAAATTTATGTGTAAACTTGTTTAGGATTACATGTGGTAAGAGATGGAAATGTGGATGCTATAAGAGATAAGTGAAGAATTAAACCATCATAAAGTTCTAATTTGAAATATTCTTATTGATATTCACTGTAGTTTTATTCACACAACTTATTATACCTGAAATGTTTAAGTTATAAACCACGTTAAAGAAAATCTGTTTCTGACAAGAGGTGTTGGTAAGGATGTGGAGAAAAAGGAACCCTCATGCACTGTCGGTGGGAATGCAAACCGGTGCAGTCAGTGTGGAAAACAGTATGGAGGCTCCTCAGAAAGTTAAAAATAGAACTATCCTATGACCCAGTAATCACACTACTGGGTATTTACCCGAAAAATAAGAAAACACTAGTTCAAAAGGATATATGCACCCCTATGTTTACTGCAGCATTATTTACAATAGCCAAATTATGAAACAGCCCCTAGTGTCCTTCGATCGATGAATGGCTAAAGATGTACACACACAAACACACACACAAAGTAATATTATTCGGTCATAAAAAAGAATGTTATCTTGCTATCTGCAACAACATGGACGGAGCTAGAGAGTATAATGCTAGGTGAATTAAGTCCGAGAAAGACAAATACACCGTGGAATTTAAGAAATAAAACAAACAAGTAAAAAAAGGGGGGGTGCGGAGAGAGAGATATACCAAGAAACAGACTATAGAGAACAAACTGGTGGTTACCAGAGGGGATGTGGGGGGCGGGGGGGAGTGAAATAGGTGAAGGGGATTAAGAGTACACTTATCAAGATGAGCACTGAGCAATGTAGAGAACTGCTGAGTCACTACACTATATTGTACACCGCAAACTAATATAACACCATATATTAACTATACTGAAATTAAATTTTAAAAACTTAGTAACATTTTAAAAAGAAAATCTATTTCTGAACCACAGAAATAGAAAAAAGAATAGAATCTAAATAACAACTACTAGATGAAGCATGAAAAATATAGCAAGTTGCAATTTGAAGAATAGCCACTAGATGGTAGTGATTACAAATAAATCTATGCTTATCAAAGCAAATACACTCAAAAACACTGGCCTACAACCTACCAGAAAAAAATATATCAGGAAATGAAGTCCAAAAATAATTTATAATTTTACTCTTATAATATTGGTGCAATATTTGTAGAATAGGGAACATAAAAAAATAAGTTATAAAGATATCATTTAGTAAAAATGTAGTAAAAGCAGGTAATTTACACTAAATACATGAAATATATATCTTCGTATTAATACACCACAGGTCAAAAATAAAGGCAACTAAGTGTGTAGGTTACCAAACATGTGCAACACTGTTTTATCATCAAAATGTTTCCAAATCTAAAAAAGGGGGGGCTAAAAAGAAGACAGGATTAAGTGAAATACAGAAATGGAGAAATAATCACTAAGCTGAGTCATATAGATGGTATCAAATCACATTTTTATACCAAGAGACAGGTATTTATAATACATATAGTACAATAAACTTAAATTTCCTTTTCCAATTAAGATTTTTAAAATACATAACCATTAAAGGAATTAATATTGACACTACTCTTTTTATAAACAAAATATGTGGGAAGCCTGTTATGAATAATAAAGGGTTACCCGTTGAACTAAAACTAAGGAAAAAACTAACATTGACTAGACTAATAGTACAAAACAGTAGTTATTTGTAGTCAAGTGTTCTTTTCCCTTCCATGGTACCTACCATCATATCTAACTACAAATTTTAACTAACGACACAAGATTTAAATATTGCATATACATTAGCTGGTTGCCAAGCAGAACATAATTTACTAAATTTGAAGAGAAAAATGTAACTGCTTTCCCACTCACCGACCCACTTCTGAGTGGTTATCTACTTCTATTCTTCAGCAGATGAAATGAAAGAAGGAAAAGAAGCAAGAAACCATTTCAAAATGGAGGATTAGTGATTTCCCAGACTCAAAAGTAACTCAGCTCAAGGTATGTATTTTCTGTATTTTCTATTTTTAAAGTTGAACATGATACTTTAAATAAGAAAACTATTTCTTAGTTTTATCAAAATAAATTTTATACTTAAAATGAATTAAATCAGCATTCTATGAGAGCTTGATCATTTAACCAGGTTGAGGGCAGAAATTTACCATATCTAGTCTAATAAATATACTTATATGAATACTGGATTTCAAAAACTTAATTTTAGCAATTAAACAATTGAAGTGTCATAATATTATGTATTGAGTATACTCTCTGCCAATCCCCGTGTTAGGAACTGAAATAATAGACTATAACACAGTCTTCCCTCAAAGTATAAAGTCCACTTTATAAATTCAGGTATTTAAGAATTCTGCAACATGCTAAAAAAATCATACTTAGGTTTTTGGTCTTCTAATTCCTTACCATTCCCCCCAAACAAGATATATTTGCATTCTTTCGTGTCTCGAATCACATTGTTCCAGATGCCTAGAATATTTCCTTTTCCAACCCTTGTTCCTGCTTAAAGACACTCAAATGGAAGTCCTTTGCTCCAAAAGCAGAATTTACAGTTTCATTCTGCATGCTCCTACATCACTGCATGGACACGCAACATTTCTCATGCAAAAACATAGTTTAAATATATTTATATAATTCTATATAGTCAGCATCTAGCATAATGACTGTAATACACTGTTATAAGTATACTAAATACTAGGATTTTTATTGCATCATATGATCACATAGTTCAATATCAGGAACAATTTACATTTTAAACAAAGTAGTCACCCATTAACAATATCTGCCTTTCTTCACAATGCTACTTTAAATACACACACAGCTAATACATGCAAAAAAACAATTTGGAAATGAAAAAACACTTACTGAAAAATGCCAGCATGAAAATCCCATCATTACCCACTCTGAGCTGGTCTGCATCACTAAAGTCATCTCTTTGTTGGCACTCTTCCTCCTGAATCTGTAAAACACATAACATTAGAACAGCTCACTAAAAAACTAATTACAACTTTATTATTTAAGTATAAAGATAATTTAAATAAGATCAGATATTCTCAATTTGTTGTATAGACAAATGATAAAATGAGAACAGTGTCTGGCACAGAGTAAGTATTCAAAAACATTAGCAAGTATTAATTTTTCATGGGCACCCTTGAAAAGAGTAACTTTAAAAGAAAACACAAAAAAAGATAAAAAGTAAACATTAGATTAATGAAAATATATCAAGAAAGATGTGACTGACACATTTGCACTGAACAGTAAAGAGGAATTTTCATAATCAGTGGTGGAATCTAAGTGGGTATGATCTCTATGGCTGGCAATTTGGAAATATTTATCAAAAATAAAAATGTACAACCCACAACTGTATGGTCACTTAATCTTTGACAAAGTAGGAAACAGTATCCAGTGGGAAAAAGACAGTCTCTTTAACAAATGGTATTGGGAAAACTGTACAGCAACATGCAAAAGAATGAAATTGGATTACTTTCTTACACCACACACAAAAATAAATTCAAAATGGATTAAAGACCTAATTGTGAGACAGGAAACCATTAAAATGCTAACACAGGAAATAACCTCCTTAACATCAACCGTAGCAACTTTTTACTATGTGTCTCCTGAGGCAAGGGAAACAAAAGCAAAAATAAATTACTGGGATTTCATCAAAATAAAAGCTTCTGCACAGTGAAGCAAACAATCAAAAAACTAAAAGGTAACCTATGGAACAGGAAAAGATATTTGCAAATGACATATCTGATAAAGGGTTAGTATCCAAAACATATAAAGAACTTATAAAACTCATCACCCCAAAACAATAATGCAACTTAAAAATGGGCAGAGGACATGAATAGACAGTTCTTCAAAGAAGACATCCAGAGGGCCAACTGACACATGAAAAGATGCCCAACATCACTCATCATCAGGGAAATGCAAATGAAAACTACAATAAAATATCACCTCACACCTGTCAGAATGGCTAAAATCAACAACACAAGATACAACAGGTGCTAGGGGCGCCTGGGTGGCTCAGTTGGTTAAGCGACTGCCTTCGGCTCAGGTCATGATCCTGGAGTCCCGGGATCGAGTCCCACATCGGGCTCCCTGCTCAGCAGGGAGTCTGCTTCTCCCTCTGACCCTCTTCCCTCTCGTGCTCTCTCTCATTCTCTCTCTCTCAAATAAATAAAAATAAAAATCTTTATTAAAAAAAAAAAGATACAACAGGTGCTAGCAAGGAAACCCTCTTGCAATGTTTGTGGGAATGGAAACTTGGTGCAGACACTCTGGAAAACAGTATGGAGGAAGGCTCCTCAAAATGTTAAAAATAAAACTACCCCACAACCCAGTAACTGCACTACTAGGTATTTATGAAAAGAATACAATACTAATTCAAAAGGGATACATGCACCTCAATGTTTATAGCAGCATTATCTACAATAGCCAAATTATGGAAATAGCCCGTGTCCATCAATCAATGAATGGATAAAGATATGGTGTATATATACAGTGAAATATTACTCAGCCATAAAAATGTTGCCATTCGCAATGACGTGGATGAAGCTAGAGAGTATTATGCTAAGCAAGTAAGTAAAAGACAAATACCGTATGATTTCATTCATATGTGGAATTTAAAAAACAAAACAAACGATCACAGGGGGAAAAAAAGAGGGGGGGGGCAAACCAAGAAACAGACTCTTAATTACAGAGAACAAACTGATGGCTACCAGAGGGGAAGGGGGTTAAAAAGGTGATGGGGATTAAGGACTGCACCTGTGAAGAGCACCAGGTTTTGTATAAATGTTGAATTACTAAATAGTAAACCTGAAACTAATATTACAGTGTATGTTAACTGGAATTTAAATAACAACTTTAAAAAAAGAAAAAAATGTACACAGCCAACAATTCCAGCTCTTGAAATATATTGTACAAATATACAATATATTCCCACTTACAAGAAATGATGTATTAAAGATAATTCACTGCAGCAATGTTTTTTGGGTTTGTTTGCTTTTTTAGAGAGAGGGAGAGGGAAAGAATCTTAAGCAGGCTCCACGCCTAGCACAGAGCCCGACACAGGACTTGATAGCACGACCCTGAGATCATGACCTGAGCCGGGAAATCAAGAGTCAGACACTTAACTGACTAAGCCACCCAGGCGCCCTGCAGGAATAATAATAGTATGAGCAAAATATTAAGACACAATCTAAATGCCCATCAATAGTGGGCTCTAGTCAGGAGATAATTCTCCATGAGTCCTTCATGTTTCTACACATCTTCTAGGTAGAGGCACTGGCTGCCCTTCTTCCTTATATTGCAGACAGCTTTGGAAGAGATAGTGTCTCTCCCCAGAGCAGAGATTAGTGACCAGGAGAAAATAATGGGTTCGGGGTGCCTGGGCGGCTCAGTCGGTTAAGCATCTGGCTTTGCTCAGGACATGACACCAGGGTCCTGGATCAAGCCCTGCATCCTGGCTCCTTCTCAGTGAGGAGCCTGCTGGGGAGCCTGCTTCTCCCTCTCCCTCTGCCCCTCCACCATTCTTGCATGCACGCTCTCTCTCTCTCTCTCTCAAATAAATAAATTAATTAATTAAATCTTTAGAGAAAAAAGAAAATACTGGGTTCACTAAATTCAGGGTTCCACACTGTGTGGAAACATTACTTGGCCCTCTTCGTGTTTCTCAGTGGGAACTGAGGCTCAGGAGACTGGTCAAGAAAATGCTAATACATTCATGGTAGTCTCACTATGTACACTGCCAAAAGAAAAAGATTTTCAAAACCATACTGCTCATTATTTAGGCAAAAAGATCCCTAAAACTCTGCAATCACATATCGTAAGCAACCCTCTTAGAGAAAATACAGTGATTGGCAATAACTATATATTAATAAAATTTTGTATAATTTCAAGTTAATTCAAGAAATAAACACTAAAGCCCAATGTGAGCCCCTCTAAACCACTGTCAACATGAGGGCAAGAATATAAATATTTCATACTTTTTTGAGATTTTTATCATATGACATCATTTTTAAGAAGACAGGAAACATGCACAAAGATGTCCTTTACAACATCAACAATGATAAACACAGACACATAATCACATCTGAAAATAATCCAACTGTTCACTAGGGAGGAAGAACCACTAAATTATAATATATTGATTCCATGGAATTTCACTAAACCATTAAAGAAGAAGCATTTATATAAAATGCTTAAAAATAAAATATAATAGCTCTATAATAATTCCAACTACATTAATTTATAAATCCTAAAAGTGGTAAAAGACACCAAAATATTTTAAAATGAAAAGCTGTGAGAAAACAAGTGTGGTATTTTCTTCTTCCTAATTTCTTACACTGCTAATTTTTAAAAAGCTTTCATCAACTTAATAAACTGTAATTTATTAAACACCAAATATGCACCAGGTAATAGAAAGGTGCTAGAAATGCAAACAGAGTCCTTATCCTGGAGTGGCTCACAATTTATAAAGTGATAGTTTTTATGTCAAAAAACAAATTACTGAGAAACTTTAAAACAAGGTACAGGGGCACCTGGGTGGCTCAGTTGGTTGGGCTACTGATGCCTTGGTCTAGGCTCAGGTCATGATCTCAGGATCTGGGATTGAGCCCCAGCTGGTGGGCTATGCGCTCAGAGGGGAGTGTGCTTGAAGATTCTCTCCCTCTGCCCCTCCCCCAACTCCAGCGCAAGCTCACACTAACGCACACACTTTAATAAATAAATCTTTTTCAAAAAAGGAGTTAGTTTCTTTAAGTCCATTTAATCATCCCATAATTTACATGCAATCCTGCACATTAGAAATAGGAAATAGAAAACAGTATTGTTTCCAAGTCTCCTGGCTACTACCTATATTCTCCCAATGAGCATGGATTTAAGACTATGGACTCTGAGAAACAAACTGAGGGTTCTAGAGGGGAGGGGGGTAGGAGGATGGGTTAGCCTGGTGATGGGTATTAAAGAGGGCACGTTCTGCATGGAGCCCTGGGTGTTATACGCAAACAATGAATCATGGAGCACTACATCAAAAATAAATAAATAAATAATAAGGAAAAAAAAAGAAATAAGCTTTCACACCTCACCCAGTTGAAATTCATTTACAACTGAATACATACTCAAATGCTAATCAGACCAGTTTTCTATCTGAATCAGGTATAGAAACCCATACTCAATCATCTTTTGCAGAAGAGAGGGTGCTGGAACCCTGGGTTAGAAACTGATGAATTTAAGAGTCTTTTACAAGGACCTAAGTAAGTCTCTTCTGTTCAATTATATTTTGCTTTATGAAATTTTCCAAAATCTTCAGAAGCTGGAGTTACAATGATATCAGAAGCAGTTGAAAACGGAAAACTTTTCCTTATGAACATGTTCCAATTCAGACTGGCATCATATTACTTGCTAAAAACAAGACACTGGAAATGATGACAATGAAAGGTTGGAATAGAAAACACTTCAGAGTTTTCTCTCCAAAAGAGAGAAAACTTTTTTTATGCTTTCCCCAAAGCAGAGAGCAAGACAATGCTTGCTTCTTTCTCTTCAGAGTTAAGGACCTTTGTCATTTCCAAGGTCTCTAGGGAGATACTCCCTGAGAAAAGGAGTTATGCCCTTCTCGTTCACAGAGAGTGCATGCATGTATATAATGCATGTATAACCATGTACGTGCTAAGCAACCTAGAACTGATTTTGATAAACTCCACACTACAGATCTATGCTCCTTCTCTATGATTCTCTCCTCTAAGTATCAAAAATCCTTATTGACTGAGCTGTATTTTATGCCACTGTATTAACAAAGACTTACTTTCACCCTCCGAAGGAAATGGCATAAATAATAAATTTGAGGCTTACTGTCTTTACTTATGTGCCCAAAGCTATTTATGTTGACATTTAACTCTGTGTGTGTTGGAGTATGGGAGCGGGAACAGGCATGGAAAGGGATGGACTGATGAAAAAAACCCATCCAGGAAAAAACACTCACCTATCAGATAATCTACTTGTTGGGCTCTGGCCTAATGGCCGAAGAAGAATGCTGTACACAGAATCACTTTTCTCTCCCTTTGTCCCTCACCTAATCCTAGCTTTCTGTGTAAAGTGATTTTGGTGTCTTTTCTTAAACAACATGTGATGAACCTAGGAAGCTGAAATGATATCTCTAAAGTCTGAAGCAAGAAAAAAAGCCAACAAACTCTAGCCCTGCTTGCAGCCATACTAAAATGTAAATAACGGGACGCCTGGGTGACTCAGTGCGTCTGCCTCCCACTCAGGTCATGATCTCAGGGTCCTGGGATCAACCCCTTGTCGGGGCTCTCTGATCAGCGGGGAGTCTGCTTCTCCCTCTCTTCCTCTGTGGTCTCTCGCTCTCACTCTCAAGTAAATAAATAAAATCTTTTAAAATAAATAAATAAAATGTAAATAACTTCCACCTTTTATCTGACTGTAGAATAGCATACATGCTTCTCGTTGATTCTTCACTCCTGAGACAGTCACTCCTTTTACCAGAACAAGAAGTAATGTACATGTATATCACTGACTCTTACTCTTACTGAGACAGGAAGAGAAGACAGAAAGGACAGGTATCATTCAAAAATTCTAGGGTGGGATGTGTAAAAGTGGACATACACACACAAAGTGAATTGACAAACATAATTTGAAAACTGGTAACTTATTTCTCTGTGCTTTTTAACCTACACTGAGTTCATTCATGGAGTCACTAGACTGGCTCTGCTAATAATACAAATGAGTAGGGAAAAAGATAATTTATGATTATAATTATGGATCACAGAACCTAAACTATATGAGGAGGGAAAGAAGGACATCAAGAGAGAAGAGGTCTATGGGGTGGAGTATCTAGAGTAAGGAAGTCAGGGGATGGGAGTGAAAGCACATGAAAGGAGAAAATCAAGACTTAGGAAATGTACTGGTAAAGACAAGGACCACGATTACGATGGGCTACACAGGAAAATCAGTAGAAATAGAAATGAGGAGGTAAAGGAATGGAGAGGTGAGTACCAATTTCACCAAAAAATGACGACCCACCTAAAAAGTAGTAGAGAAGATACTAAAAAACAGTCTACGTGCACAAACACTCTGAAACTCAGACCTATTTTTGACATTACTAAACATGATATTCTCAGAAGAGAGCAACCAGCCTGCCTTACCCTCTGAGCTGTCTCTGCGGCTGCGGCTGCCATTGTGGCAGCCTTGGCCTTCTCAGCTTCATCGTACGTAGGAAGGGAGGTAGCGACGCTGTAGGGAGGTGGCACAAGATAAAACTCACTGTAAACTTCTGTATCTGAAGAAAGGAATTAAAAAAGGATAACCATTAAAACAAACTATTTAATAAAATTTTTACAGCCAAAAACAATTTAATAATTTACAACAGGCCACTAAAGACTGTTACTGCTTTTTGTAGTCCTATTTTATAAGCTATGTAACATATAAATTACTACTACAACCATATATGTTAGTTTAGCCCCATATTTATTATAAAGGGAAAAGACTGATAAATATCACCTACAGGCTGATATACAAAATAAAAATATCAGGAATGAAATTCTAAAAATCTGTGTGTAAGGGGAGTGAGAAACTCACCACAGGTGAGCACCTTCTGTACCTATGCTCAAAGAATTTAATTTTCTTGCTCATAATCTCACAGCCAAAAAGTAGATATATCAGGAATAGTAACACTTAAATAGTTCTAACCATTTAATATGCCACTTCTATATACATTTACCCTAGCAACTCTGAAGTTCAGAGAAGTAATTTGCCCAATATTGCACAACCAGTAAGCAGGAGAACCCAGGGATTTCCCGATTCCCAATATCTGCTCTGATAACATGTGAGGTTCATTTTTCTACACAGCAGTTTTAGAAACTGCCCGAATCTCTTCAGCAAACTATTTCTCTTTGCTTAAAAAAACAAAAAAACAAAACTGATGATTTTTAGCTTTTTTAAAACTCTTGTCCCTCTCTTCCCATTTTTTCCTGTATCTACCTAGTTTTTTAGATTTTCTTTTTATGAAGACTTTCTCCCTCCCCAACTTTTAAACTATTTTTGAAATATGATCGGGCGCCTGGGTGGCTCAGTTGGTTAAGCGACTGCCTTCGGCTCAGGTCATGATCCTGGAGTCCCGGGATCGAGTCCCACATCGGGCTCCCTGCTCAGCGGGGAGTCTGCTTCTCCCTCTGACCCTCTTCCCTCTCGTGCTCTCTCTCATTCTCTCTCTCAAATAAATAAATAAAATCTTTAAAAAGAAAATATGATCTCCAGAAATATAACACAATAGTAAGTGCAGAATACTAATAATTAAAAAAAAAAACAAACGTGCATCACCTATCACCAACTTGAGTGGTACAAGTAAAATGATACATACAGGTCAATAAACTGATTAGACTTATGCTAGAATCATTACCATGAAAAATAGGTAGGTTCTCTCAGTAGTCCATACTATAATGTTTGACATCAGTTCCGTGGTTTCCTCATTTTACCTATAGTTTTTGTACATTTTCTCCATCAGAATTTCTTGCATTTCCAACATGAAAATACATTTCACTCTAGCAATACTTTTCCTATTGTATTTTAATGGATATTGACTTTAAAATAAGCTTTTTTAATGCTATCAATAAGACCTAAGTATCTGAAGCTGGGTAATTTTTAATCCAATCCTAGTAGCAGTGTAATACTGAACATTATCCACCAAAAAGGCACAGGAGTCATAAATTCTTAGAAATGACTTATTATTCAGATGAAAAACACGACACACAGTCAAGTAAATATATTTCCTTAGGTCTGAAGACTAGAATAGAAGAAAAATTAAGCGAAAGCAATGGTTATGAATTTTAAGGCACTAACATTAAAATTAGAAATTTAAAAACTGGAACAATGACATACATCATCCAAGAAGAGAGATCTTTTACATTAACAACAGATATGTGAGTTTTCGAAAAGTTCTAACTCCCACGACAGACAAAAATATCCTATCCAATAACAGATGAAAGTTGGGAAGAAGCACTATTTTGCTACTGCTTTAATTTTCACTGGTTAATTTTACTTATTTTGTCTACCCTTTAAGGCAGCAGTTCTCAACCAGAAAATTTAACGTCTGAGGAGTCCCAGTCCCAGCTCCGTAAGCTGTGTGACCTCAAGCAAACCACTTAAGCACTTTATGAAGCTCTACTTTCTCATCCATAAAACTGACCCAGCAAGTCTATTACTTGCTATTATGTGACAGAATTTAAGCATATTCAAGAGGACTCTGTAAACTGTAAGGCATTATACAAATGTCAACTATTATTATTGATGCTAAATCTATAAAACCAGTAAGAAAGTGACCTACTGAAAAACATAATCACAGAAAACTGGTACTGCCAATGCTTCAAATACAACACTAAGAAGCTGAAAAAAAAATAATATCAATGGTTTTCATTAAAGAGATACAAACTCCTAGAACTACTTAATTCTTGTGCTCAATTACAGTCATTTTCATACAGATGTAAAAATAAAATTCTGAGACCAGGAGTCACACAGATTATAAGAATAACTGAACACCCAGGTACCAGACTCCACTTGTCTTACAACTGAAAATTATCTAACCTTTAAAAATGGCATGCACCATTATCAAAACTATTCTAGGGGCACCTGGGTGGCTCAGATGGTTAAGCATCTGCCTTCAGCTCGGTCATGATCTCCAGGTCCTGGGATCAAGCCCCATGTCAGGCTCCCAGCTCAGCAGGGAGTCGGCTTCTCCCCCTCCCTCTGCCTCTCCCCCTGCCTGTGCTCTCTGTCTCTCTCTCTCAAATGAATAAATAGAATCTTAAAAAAAAAAAAAAACTATTCTAAGGCACAGAAAAATGAGAAGCTTCCTAATTCATGCTATGTTGTTTCCACAAAATTTATACTAAAACCATAAGAATAGTACATAAAGATCCCACTAATAAAACTGTAAAACTTCTAAAAAAAATTAACAAATCTAAATCCAGAAGAAATTAGAACACAGTGACAATTTATTCTCGGAATACAGAAGTTGATTGGCTTAGCCCTGGGTGTTATACGCAAACAATGAATCATGGAACACTACATCAAAAACTAATGATGGAATGTATGGTGATTAACATAATAAAAAAACTAATGATGGAATGTATGGTGATTAACATAATAAAATTTAAAAAGAGGAAAAAAATCTATTAATAATATATTTCATTACATCAAAAATTACAGGAGAAAAAACATGTAATTTTGTGATAAGGTCCCAAAAAGATGACTTCAAGGTTTCTGGCCTCCTGGAGCCATTTACTGAAATGAAGAGTGACAAAGGAAAAGGTCTGGTGATTGGGGAAAAGGCAGTAGACAGTTGTAACGGTGCTGAAACTTAACTCTATTCTTTGAAACTCTTCCTATCAAAAGGAGGAGACTAATTCCTCAACTGTCCTGAATGAAGACTAAACTTAGTGACTCACTTCTAACAAACCAAATGTGGCAGATGTGACACTGTGTGATTTTTGAAGCAGTGCCATAACAGGTGATATAGCTTCTATCTGCTTTCAGAATGCTTGTTCTTGGAACCCAGCCTCCATTCAGTGAAGAAGCACAGGCCACCATAAGAGGCCACATATAGCCGTTCTGGCCAACAGGCCCAGCTGAGGCCCTAGTTGAAACCTGCATCAGCTGCCAAATATGTTAATAAGGAAGCTGTCAAGGTGACTGGAGCTCCAAATCACCAAAAGATGATAACCACATGAGATCCTGGGAGAAAACTGCATAATTGAGCCTAGCCCACCGCAAAAACCATAAGAACTAGTAACAGTGGTTGCTATTGTACTCCATTTGGCTTTTACACAGCAGTGGCAATGGTGACCACAACAAAAAAATTACAATTTCAATCTTAGCATTCCATCATTCAAACACAAGATTCAGCAAAACAACTAATTTTCTTTCTTCAAGACTATCATCAAATAGATTTTTTTTTTTTAAATCTAGGGTAGCAAATTCACAGAACTATATTCTGGAAACTTACAGAATAACGAAGAAAATTTAGTCCATAATAAATTTTAGCAAGCACTAATCCAGCTATTTAATCCAAAGACAAATAAAACTACTATAAATCAATATAAAAACTGTCAAACAGTCCATCAAACTGGGCACTAAAAAAGCATATTGATCAAATAAACATTATATGCAAATAAGAGTAAGCATTTGTTGATTTATTAGTGAGAACACCTTCATAAAGATGATTTTCAGTAACTGCATAATATTGTAAATGAAAATAGTAAATGGTCTTTTTACACAACCCATATGGTCTAGATAAAATCCATAGAGGCAGAAATGGTAACCAGAGAAAGCTGGCAAGGGTTTAAGAGAATAATGATACTAACTGCAGAAAAGCAAATAAAGATGAAATACTCTAGTGAAGGGTTTTTTAATATTAAAACATTTTTATAACACATTTAAAAAATGTTTCATAATGAATATATAAAATATTTAGAGATTATTTATAATAGTACACAAAAACATATTTTAAATGTTTTTTTAATTATATAATGATTAACTTCAAGAAACAAGTGCTGGTGAGGATGCGGAGAAAAAGGAACCCTCATGCACTGCCCGTGGGAATGCAAACTAGTACAGCCACTCTGGAAAACAATATGGAGTTAAATAAAATTAAAAATAGAACTACCCTGGGGCGCCTGGGTGGCTCAGTCCATTAAGTGTCTGCCTTTGGCTCAGGTCACGATCCCAGGTTCTTGGGATCGAGCCCCGCATCAGGCTCCATCCCAGGTTCTTGGGATTGAGCCCCACATCGGGCTCCCGGCTCAGTGGGGAATCTGCTTCTCCCTCTACCTCTGCTGCTTCCTCTGTTTGTGCGCGCGCTCTCTCTCTCTCTCTCTCAAATAAATAAATAAAATCTTAAAAAAAAAAAAAATAGAACTACCCGATCCAGTAATCACACTGCTGGGTATTTACCCAAAGAATATGAAAACATTAATTCAAAAGGATATATACACCCCTGTATTTATTATAACATTATTTACAATAGCCAAATTATGGAAGCAGCCCCAGTATCCATCGGTAGATGAGTGGATAAAGAAGATACAATACACACACATACACAATGGAATAATACTCAGCTTTTTAAAAAAGAATGAAATCTTGTTCTTTGCAACAACATGGGTGGAGCTAGACTGTACAATGTTAAGCAAAATAAGTTGGCCAGAGAAAGACAAGATATCAGAGAATTTCACTCATATGTGGAATTTAAGAAACAAAACGAAAGAAAACACAGAGACAAAAAAACAGACTATTAACCACAGAGAACAAACAGATGGTTAGCAGAGGGGATGTGAGTAGAGGGATGAATGAAATAGGAAGGGGGTGAAGAGTACACTTATTATGAGCACTGAGTAAAATACAGAACTTTTAAATCACTATATTGTACACCTGAAACTAATATAACACTGTATGATAACTATACTGGAATAAAAGTAAAAAATAAATTATATGATGATTAACCTAACATTACTGGGAAAATATAAATTGTGACCAGAGAAATAGATAAAGGTAGTTCTTTAGAATGACCTGAGAGGATAAAATGAATCATAGGAAGCAGGAAACACTGCCTCGTGTCCAGGAATTATTACCTTGTATATATGGTTATATTATGTAGACCTTTCACCTCCGTTCACACATACCACATTCCCACTCACACTCAGCACTAATAACACCTTGTTTTATAGCTATGTAGGTAGATACACACAAACACAAATACATATGTGTATATAGATACATATACCACATACGCATATATCTATAAATGTATACCTATATATACACATAAATTCGTATACATATATACACATTTATTTATTTCTTCCAAAAGGAATATGCCACTCCATTGGAAACATTCTAGTAAGCAGAAGAAAGTTTACACTTTTAATTTTTTTGAAAACAACAATATAAGACTAGTAATATATGAGTAAATATTTTATACACTATCCTTTGGAAAACCTTTTTGTAACAAAAATCATAAAACCAGTAAGCCTTTAAGAGACTCTATAATTAAATAAAACCATACTGGTTTAAAAAAAAAATGAGTCACTAAAAATATTACTAGTTATTTCATACTAAAAATAATACCTGAAGTTGTAGGTACTTCCACAGTAATACTACTATAAGGTGGAGGAGAAGAGTCCGTTTCAAGTACCGATGCTGAAGGAGCAGTCTGAACGCTCTGCGGTGTTGGGTTTGAAGTTGATGGCTGCTCTACAGCAGATGACTCTGAATTATCTTCTTCATTGTGTAGCTAAGAGAACAAAAAAGAAATATTAATGTCATTCTGATTATTATTTTTAAAAATTTTAAGCGAATTTTTAAAGATTATTTCAGGCAAAGGATCACCTTTTAGTTAAAAACAAAGTAAAGATGCACAAAATTTGTAAGAGACTGAAGCAGTCATTAAGAAATTAAGATTTTGGTAGTTTCTTTACAATAAAAAATGAAGTTCAAATTAAGAATTTATAAAGAAAAACATCGTGACTATAAATAGATTCAAATTCATTCAATCCTATAGTAAATATTGACTACCATGTATTAATCACTGTGTACTACAAAGAAAAATAAAGCCATCTAATAATTAAACCACAAAACCATTTCTATTACACTAGTATCTAGAATAATTGAAAATGTAACCTGAATTAATAAAATGAAATAATAATGAACATTCCAAAAATGTAGAATACTCTAAGGAGGTTTTCTCAAGTCCAAAATTTTGGAGTTACTTATAAAGCAAGATGAATCAATGTGTATATAAAATCCTGGAAGATGTTCTTCAACACAACAAATTTATTGAAAGCTCAGGAAGTGCAAGATAATAGGTCGGATCTGCAGTCATTTAATTCATTTAATCCTCACAACAAATCTATAAAATAGAGAATGTTATCCCCATTTGACAGATAAAATGGGGGGGTGGGGGGGGACAAAAGTGTAGACACCTAAAGTAACTTGCCAGACATCAAAACGGCTAGGAAGGGTCAGACCAAGAATCAAACCTAAGTGGCAGGGCTATAAAGACTTCTTACTCCATTTATAACTAATCTTTTAAATGCTCATTTGTTAGGAAGTGGTAATAACTACATGTAGGCAAGTTAACTGTAGGTCAACCAAAAGCATCAATACTCTAAAAAGTGACTCATCAAAAAGGTACTTAGATATATTTGGAGAAGAGTTATTAAATTTTTTAAGACATTTTTAAATCCACTAGAATCTTGGTTTGAAGAAACACTACAGGCCTTCAACATTATTCAATTTTTACATCTTAATTATTCTTGTACTTTACGAAAGTCAATGTTAAAAATAATCCCCCAAATAAATTTTGTCACACAGCAAATCTGTACACACACAAATCTGACTTTTGTGAGTAGTGGAAAAAAAAAAAGAGCATGCAAATTCTTGCTCCGCCTTTTAGGAGCTTTGATAAACCTCTGTGCCTCAGTGTCTCTAAGTATACGTTCTAAATGCAGCCAAAATCCTCACAGAATTGTAAAATAATATTTGGAAAGCATCTAGCATTAACACCTAGCACACAGAAGGCATTTAATAAATACTAGTTTCCTCCTTCTTCCCCTTTAGTTTAATAGACTTTATTTCGTGGCCTGAAATAATTTGGTGCTATCAGTCCAATAAATGGTCATTCATTTGCCTCTAAAAACATGCAAAGTAAAATTTACTTCACTGCTGTTTGCACGTGTCTTGGTAAGTGACCACCCTAGCACAATACTTCTGTGAGTTCATAAATTATATTTTATCAGAACTAGCATAAACATACCTAAAATCATTTCTCAAGTTAATAAGACAGGGTTTTTTCCCATAGCGCCAAGGTTTAGGTAATAAAATTCACACAGAAACTGAATTGTAAGGTCAAACAATCATAAAGTGAATTTCCTATGAGCTTTGTATTTACCTGCAGCAGTTTTCTAAGTTGGCACTGCATGACCACCCTCCTGACTAGCTACACTCTGCCTCAGCATCACCAAGCATCTTCCATGTTTCATGTAACAAAGTACCCGGAAGAATTCCTAACTTAGTCATCTCTGATCATACTTCAAAGAGCAAAAATATTAGATGAGCAAGTTAAGGCAAATAAAAGTAATGTATAGATATATACTTAGCATTATCAACTAAACAATTAACAGTGATAGTATCAAAAAAAGGAAACCACTGTTCCATCTCTACCCTTAATGCTGCAAATGTGGATGAACTGTATTACAGAAAAAGATCCTGTATGACAAAATAGCTCTCCTCTGGTTCCTCACAAGAAATACTCCCTACCATATCAAATACATAAATGTGCTCCCCAGAATGACCAACTCATTTTTAAAACCTTCAAAATGTATTCGGGGCGCCTGGGTGGCTCAGTTGGTTAAGTGGCTGACTCTTGATTTCAGCTCAGGTCATGATCTTGGGGTCCTGGGATCGAGCTCCCCCCCCCCACATTGGGCTCAGCAGAGAGTCTGCTTGAGGATTCTCTCTCTTCCTCTGCACCCTCCCCTTGCTCGCAAGCTTTCTCTCTAAAATAAATAAATCTTTTTAAAAAATGTATTCAAATAACTGCAATAAAAAGAGTAATTACAGAGGGGCACCTGGGTGGCTCAGTCAGTTAAGCGTCTGCCTTCAGCTAAGGTCGTGATCCTGGGTTCCTGGGATCAAGCCCTGCTACAGGCTCCCTGCTCAGCAGGGAGTCTGCTTCTCCCTCTCCCTTTGACCCTGCTCCTGCTCTCTCTCTCTCACAAATAAATAAAATCTTTAAAAACAAACAAAAAAGAGTAACTGCAGATACTTTTACATATGACCTCAGAAGTAAAGCTTTGGTACTTGTAAAACACACCCTAAATTATTTCAACTGCCCTACCTCACACCTCACAGTTTTATTTTTACAAAATTATAATATACAGTGAACATTTGCCATGTATCAGCAGTAAAACCCAATAACTCAGTCAATAATCTCTACCCACTGTAACAGAGAACTTCCAAAAGTCAACTTTTTAATTTTGATATCTTTGGTGCCTCTATAAATCAACCTACTTTGGTTGCCTTTTAACTAAATTCATTCAAAAGTTCAAATCAAACTACATGTCCATCAAATTAAACAATGTCCTCTGTAGAAATTTTTCCTTAATCATGCTGTGCAATGGTTCTATTTTACATTCTTTCAGGATTATCATAAATAGCAAAAAAAAAAGGGGGGGGGGACAGAGATAAGTGGGGTGGGAACTACATATATACAATAATGAACGTGGCTCTGTGTCCTGTCCACACATCACCTCAAAAGTTATCTTCCTAGCTTGTTCTATTTTTGAGCCTCCTGGAAAAAAACATGGGCAACAACAGCACATGAAAACGAAAAGACGTCTTTACTATAGTAACCAGGGTGATGAAAAGTTGCCTATATTTAGCCTGAAGGATAAAAGGATGCCAAGAGGGCTGGCTGTCTTAAATGTATCTATAGTTCGTCTTTACTTGATGTATATCGATTACTTTTAATGGTAAGAAAAGCATAAGCATTATGATTAACTCTGGCTGGAAGTCCAGCCTTCCCATGTATAAACTACAGTTTCGTTTCCTTTGTCAGCTTTCCTTTGCTGTAGAACTTCATTCTATCTTAAGATGATAAAAGATTAATAAATGTAAGCTTTGCTTTTGAGAAGCCAGAGACCTCACTAAATGTTTTCTAAACACACCCAAATGAGAATGTATGGATGTACTATAAAGTGTTGTTTAACGAGCAGTGTTTGGAAAAAAAAAAAACTGTAAGTTGTTAAAAAAAAAAAAAGTATGTGAAGAGCTACTGTATTTCGTATACTGCCATATTCTGACTACATTTAGTACCAGAAGACAAAACTGGGAAGAACAGTTCTAGCTGCAAGGAGTTAAATTTTAACTAAATAAAAGACCTTTAAAATTTTAATTAGATCCTTCTTTTTCCATTAGATCTTTTAAATTATTAGAACACTAGCTTTTCTGTAGGGCAACAAATACCTTCAGGCAGATTTTAGATGGCAAGGCTGCTGTCTAACTAGGATGACCATTACAGCTGTTTTTTCCCAGGACAGTCCTACTTTACACCTATTATTTCAGGGCACCACTCAATTTAGCATTTTCTCCCCCCCTTTCATTCTCAAGAAAATTGAATGGTCAACCTACATATAATGGGATTTTTGCCCTTTGTATGATATTAATAGATGACAAGGGCTCCTTTAAACTCTAAGATGATAAGGCTCTAGCGAAAACCTATGGTAGTCTCTATCAATCTATGTTGCCTTATTTAACACCTGAATTAGAGAAAAAAAACAGATTAGAGTTGCAATAAAATCAATTGGTAGAGTCAAGCTACCCATTTTTAATTACCCAAGAAGAAAGTGAGCTTTCTTATCTACGCTGCTAGGGAAAGGTAACAGCAGGAGCTAAGAAGAAATCCCTGCAGAGAGCCCAAGTGATCTAAACCAATATGCTCAGAAGATAAGTTCCCACAAAGCACTGCTGCTTGGCAAATGAAGCTAGATTTTCTATCAATAAAACTAAATTACAGCAGTCTTCCTAATGTACATAAACCATACTATTAAGTAAATTAACAGAACTTAGTTTTAGGAATATTTCCACTAAAACTTCACTGTCTCTGGACATTTTTCCACAAATGAAAGCTAGCTTATGATAAAGCAAAAATATAAACAATTAGGGAAGACTATAAGCAACAAATGAATATTAAACTGTGAGTTGGCAATCATGCCTAGTTTTCAGTTTCTTCTCTTTAAAGTACAGAATTCTGGTTTGGCTTTATATTTCATATTATAAACATATTTCTGCAAGTAAAACCTTTCTTCTTAGTATGAAAGAATATCATTATTTCATGGTGCTCCACAAAAAGTACCATGAGCTCCAGATGCTCCATCACCTGAACGAGTCTGCAAAATAACTGATTAAAACAAAGTGTCATCAGATATTTTATCAAGGCACAACTAAGCTGTCTTTTAAATAAATAAGGGTTGTTTCATTTTAAAATTGCTATTGTCTGCTCACAACAGGTCAACTGAAAAAAAAAACACACACACAAAAGAGTATATACAGTGTAACAATGTTTAAAATATTAAGAGAGATGTTATTTGTGTAATACATATGTGCAATCAAAATTTCTGGAAAGATAAGCAAGGAACAGGAAAGAGCAGTAGGTGGGGAGAGAGACTTCATCGTTCTCTATTTGAATTTTTCACACTAAACATAATTTGAAATTTCTAATTTTTAATAAACCCA